ATTCAGAACCTGTCCTCTCTGAGATCCCAGCAACAGCCAATAGGGGAGGGGAGGGTCCCTGTGACTGGACAGCTGAGGGGAGAGGAATATTGATCCCACCAGCCTGGTAATAGCCCCTCTGGGGGAATTCTCTGTGGGCACCCGTCTAAGAGGAGTGGCAAGTGCCCAGACATGTGTGTGTCTGTATGTGTGTGTGCCTGTAAGAGAGTGTGTGTGCTCACATGTATTGTGTATTTTTGCACATGTACATAGGTATCTGTGTATCTCTGCACACGTACCATGTGCCCATGAGCACATATGGATATATGGGTAGGTCTATGGTCTATGTGTGTTTGTGCCTGTGCTGTGCGTGTACTTACATGTATATGTGTGTATGCAGCCAGGAGTTCTACACAGGGCAGGAGCATTGCCAGCCCTTTTGCAGTCCATTCCTGGCCTGGCTTAGATCTTACTGTCTCGATACCAACCCAAGTGCGCATCCCACCAAGGGTTGGGGAAGAAGCTGTCCCAAGGTTCAAGGGCAAGCAGAGTGGGTCTAGGTCTGAGCAGGCCTCTGATGGCATATGTCCCAGCCTGATGGAGCTGCCCTGGGCAGAGGCTGGCTCAGTCACCAGCAGGCACCATGGACCAGAGCTTCTGGCCCCTGTGTAGCCTCTGCACAGCCCTTGCTCATGTCTTATAGTGGGATGTGAGATAGACCCATATTAGAAATCTGCCCTCCTGGTAGTGAGTAGGAGCTCACCCTAGATTTGTGCTGGCCTCCTTAGGACCAGGAAGGCAGGGAACTGACCCCCACCTCAGCATATGCCATTAGAAACATGATGGCCCATCTCTAAGAAATCCATGGGCACCAGTAGGAAAAGGAAAGTTTTTGTTTCTAAGATGTTTAAACTGCTCTTGGTGACAGAGCTCCTGTCACAAGCACAAGCCATGTGTGCATGGGTGTTGGAGGGTGCACATCAGTTTACCCTGCTCCTGGGGACCTGCAGCTCCTCTCAGAGGAACAGCAAAGGGCCACGAAACATCCCACCATCGCGGCCAGGCCTTGCTCTGCCAGGAAGGCTTCTTCTCTGTGTGGTTCTGGGGTTGGATGTGTGCCAACAGTGAAGGCAGCCCCAGTGCCTTGTGGGTTTGGGCCTGGCACCTGGCTGAATAGGGATGAGACAGGGATGGCAAGAGGAGGAGGGCTTGAGGGAGGGCAGACATGCCACTGGGCATCCAAAACGAGAATGTCTGGTGCGGGATGTTGGACAGTGACTGTAATAGAGTGCAGAGTAAAGAGGGGGCTGAGGGGACAGGGTTCCTGGGAGCATGTAACAGGGGAGCTAATATAGCCAGGACAATCAGAGGCGGCCTCCCTGAGGGTGACACCTGAGCTGGGATCAGGAGGCAGGCTGAAGCTGTAAGCGAAAACTGACAGTCCTGGAGGTGTGGGATACAGAGGGAGCCCTCCAAGAGCTCAGACATGTCCCACCTGCACTTCTCCTGGGAGCAGCCCACCCCCAGGGACCCAGACCTGTTCTGGGGGCCTCTTTCCCACTCCCCGACCCTGCCCCTCAGGAAGACCCTAGTGATCTGAACATCTTTGCTGGGGGCTGCAGATGAGGGAGGGCCTGAACTCAGAAGGGCAAGAAAGCTCACATTCCCGAACAGGAAGCATGTCTTTGATTCCAAGGCCTTGCCCAGGGCACTAGATTCCTGCCAAAAAAGACCCTTTCCCAGCATCCTTGGGGGAGGCTCAGAGATGTAGGGGGTGAGCTCTGAACTCTTGCTGCTTTGCAAGCAAGGGCTCCTCAGCCCCCCACCCCAGGGCAGCTGGGCTGTGATCCATTTTGCGCATGGTAGGGGCAGGGAGGGCTTCCACTCAGGAACTAAGGTTTTTTTTTTTTTTGAGACAGAGTCTCACTCTTTTTGCCTGGGCTAGAGTGCCGTGGCGTCAGCCTAGCTCACAGCAACCTCAAACTCCTGGGCTCAAGTGATCCTTCTGCCTCAGCCTCCTGAGTAGCTGGGACTACAGGCATGCGCCACCATGCCCAGCTAATTTTTTCTATATATTTTTAGTTGTGCTATTAATTTCTTTCTATTTTTAGTAGAAACGGGGTCTCGCTCTTGCTCAGGCTGGTCTCGAACTCCTGAGCTCAAACAATCCGCCTGCCTCAGCCTCCCAGAGTGCTAGGATTACAGGCGTGAGCCACCGCGCCCCACCAGGAACTAAGGTTTTGAGCCTTTCCTCAACCTGCCTGGGCTGGGCCCTCACATGGCCAGGCTAATTCTCCTGCCACCCCTTTGCTTCCACTGTCACCCCCTCCCCACATGCTCCCCTTCTCCTATACTCATGCAAACCCTGCCTCTTTACATCCCTGCAGGGTGATGCCCTCCGCACCCCAGGAGCAGCTCCAGTTCCACACATCCTCTTCTAGATGAATCCACAGGGAGAGAGATAAATGACTCATCACAAGCTAATGCAAGGGACGGCAGGGCCCTCTTCCCTTTCTTTGGGGTGGTCTTCCTCAGGCATGGCAGTGGCACTGTGGGGGCACAGAGGAGGGTCCTATTTCAGCTGTGCCCTCACCAGTGAGAGCTATGGCTAGCTCCTCACCAGGCACTCAGAAGCTGGCATGCCTCAGGGGGGACTTCGGCCTGCCCCTCAGGAGATGTCACGCTGACTTATTGGGCATGTGACATCTTCTTGAGCTACCCCGTTAGCAGAATATGGTCCCATCTGGGGAGAGGACACCAAGCTAGAAAGAAGGGTCTCTGTTCATCCTGTCATGGCCCTAGGGGAGTACACAGATTAGCATGTAACCTGGTGGAGCAGAGGGGAGAGGCTGCCAGGCCACTTGTGACGCTGAGTGGAGGATAGAGCATCCACTGCTGTCACTCCAGCTCCAGGCACTGCCTGGTGAGCTCAGCAGGCCCTCAGCAGGCCCTGGTCAGCAGCTCACTCTCCTCTGGGGGTTTGCTCAGGCCTCCTTTTTGAGTGCTGCCTCCATCCTGGACAACCAGCACCCAGACTGCCAGCCCAGAGGCCTGGCCTCAGAGCATGTCCTCCCAGCGATGGATTCGCAGACTGGCTGGACACTGTTCAGACGAGCATTCTCCTTACAGTGGGAAAATCAGCCACGCTCAGGTCACACAATAGGTCAGCAGTAGGCAAGACAGAATTTGGGACTTGGCTTCTTAGGCCTGGGAAGCCCTTTGCACAGGGCCCAGGACCCCAGGGAAACAGCTTCTGCCCAGCAACCCCAGGACAACCCTGGCCTGAGCGAGGGTTGATTCTCCTTTCACCTCTCCGGGCAACTGATCACTGCTGTGGCTTTTCTTTGAGTGTGACTGTGGGAGAGACCACTGCTCTTTTGGGATACTGGGATACAGCCCTACCGCCCGGGATGAAACCCTTCAGAGAGACTATCCCTGACTTGAAAGACTGGGAGCGGGGGCTACTCCTGGGCCGCCCTTTTTCGTGCCTTCTGGTCAGAGGCCAGCGGAAAGCTCAGGTCCTCAGGGTTCCAGAGGCCCTCCCTTCCGCAAATTTCAGGCATCTTCAACCCCTACTCCTGACCCTGACCCGACACCACCACCCTCCCCCACAGCCGGGGTGGGGACAAGGTGGCTGGCTCAGAGTTGACCAGCCTCAGGCGGAAGAGCAGGTTAAGCCCCAGGGAGGCGTGGGCACCCACCCAACAGGGAACGGGCCAGGCGGACGGCTAGCCCTAGCCGGAGCTCATTCCCGAGGAAGACCACCGTAGCTCCGCAGGGAAAGCACGGCAGGTCCGGCGCACGCGCGCCGCCGAGTCGAGCCGCTTTGTTCTAGCGCTACCTGCAGATCCAATCACCTCCTCCGCCCCGCCCGCCGGAGAGTCGGCACACGCTCGCGGAGACCCCGCCCACTTCCCCGCGTTGGGTGGAGCCGGCGGCGGGCCCCGCCTCCCTCCCACACCGCTTCCCTCGGCTACGATTGGTCCCCTGTGCGGCTTGTGCCCGCCTACCAGGAAAGTGGATTGGTATATCGAGAGGGAGGTAAGAGAAGGAAAGCTGATTATAAAGGAGCCCTCCCCTCCCACCTGCCCCAGTGGAAAAGTCACGTGGCGCTTCACTAGGCGCTTGTCACCACCCCGCTTGTAAAGCTTTCTTAAAGGGCTCACGCTCTCTTCCTAGGGCTAATCCTTTCCAGATTTCTCCACCCCTGCCCACGGAGACGCCCTACCCCTCCAGTCGCCTAGGTGTAGATTTCCCATTAGGCCTGAGGGGGTGAGACCCTCCCCCTCAGGTTGCGGACCCTGTGACAGGGGGACTATGCTGTTGCCTGAAACGGTGACCGCCTAGCACAGTGCCTGGCACGTAGTAGGCGCTCAATTACCATTTGTTGAATGAACTCGACGAAAGAATGAATGAATGGGGATGACAGGTTGGGAGGGGAGATTGGCTCGGTATGACCGCCCCCCCAACCCCATCCGGGGAAAGCTCCGTTAACGTGGGGTGGGGGTGCCAGGCGTAGGACTCCACCCGTTAGTTCTTCACGTAGGGCACTGGTCTCTCCAGAAGAGATCACTCCAGAAGAGCTGGGAGTGCGAGCAGAGGGGAGGGCGTCTTGACCAGGCCCCCTCGGCACGTCGGAGCCAGTTCTGGGCTAGGCTAGACGGCGACCGTGCGGAGGCCGGGCGCGGATCCCGGGCGTCCCGGGCCGCGAACGCGCCCGCGCACCCAGCAAGGAGGGGCGGCAGAGGCGCTGCGCCTTTAAGCCCGGGCGCCGGCCCCGCGCCCCGCCCTCCGGAGGACGCCTCGGCGCGCGGCCGCGGGAGCTGCCGTTTAATTGGGGCTGTCAGGCCGCGGTGCGCGCGGAGGGCCGGGCGGGCGGGACGGAGGCCGGGAGGCCGGGGCGGCGGGCGCGCAGCTCGGCGGGAGGCGGGCGCCCGGAGACGCGGCTGGGGCCCGCGCGGCCTGGGCGCCGTCCCAGGGCAGGGCTGCCCGGCCCCGGCCCCGGGCCGCCCGCTCTCCCCATGAAAAACCAGCTCCGCGGCCCCCCAGCGCGGGCGCACATGTCGGCTTCGGGGGCGGCAGCGGCGGCTGGGGGCACCCGGGCGGGGTCCGAGCCCGGTGCGGGGTGTGGGTCCAGCGCGGGCACCGGGGCGAGCGCGGCGACCGGAGCAGGGGCTATGCCCTGCAAGAGCGCGGAGTGGCTACAGGAGGAGCTGGAGGCGCGCGGCGGCGCGTCCCTGCTGCTGCTCGACTGCCGGCCGCATGAGCTCTTCGAGTCGTCGCACATTGAGACGGCCATCAACCTGGCCATCCCGGGCCTCATGCTCCGCCGCCTGCGCAAGGGCAACCTGCCCATCCGCTCTATCATCCCCAACCACGCCGACAAGGAGCGTTTCGCCACGCGCTGCAAGGCGGCCACCGTGCTGCTCTACGACGAGGCCACGGCCGAGTGGCAGCCCGAACCCGGCGCTCCAGCCTCCGTGCTTGGCCTGCTCCTGCAGAAGCTGCGCGACGACGGCTGCCAGGCCTACTACCTCCAAGGTGAGGGCAGCACCGAGACCCCATAAGGGATCCAGGCTCCCCCGCGACTCCCTGACGCCCCCGCTGGAGGCTTTTTCCTTTCCACGCGCTCGGCCTGCCCAGCCGGGCGCCACGTCGTCCCCGGCCCTCATCCGCCCTCCGAGGAGCTCGGTCCCCATAGCGTGGGTTTGGCAGGCGCGGGGCTCCCTCTGCGCCCCCTTTCTTGGCTAGATTCGAGTGGGTAGAACAAACTTTTCCCCGCCTAGGGTTTCCTTTTTTTCTTGCTGGGGGGGGCGACAGTAGCGCCCAGGCGCCAGGCTCCTTCAGGAGGGAGGGGCCGCCTCCTGGAACCCTAAAAGCGGCTGGGCACCCAACTCCAGCCTGAAATTCGTGTCCCTAGAAGGCCAGGGTCAGGAAGGGCACCTTTTAGCAACATCTCTGCCTCCAGTGTTTGGGGACCATTTGGGTTGGGGTCTCTGGGATCCCATTATAGCCCCTACCACCTGGGGATTGTTGGCTCTTGGAGACGCTTGAGACAGAGAGTAAGCAGTGTTTATTGCCCTGACCCAGGTCTCCCGGGCCCCCGGGTCCCCAGCCGGTCGCCCCGGAGCTTGCAGAAGGGGGAGGCAGCACTGGGGGTTGAGGGGGGGCAAGTGGCTGTGGCTGGTGTTTCCAATTAACATTCCAAAATGGCCTCTCGCTGGCAGCGGGGCGGGAGGGGAGGGGAGGCCTGCGGCACCCTAGGGGCGCAGGGCCCATGCCTAGCTGCAAGGTGCTCCCCATCTCTCCTGTCCCTGTATAGCCCCAGTGGCCCTCCCCCTCTGCAGATCCAAAGCTGGGGGCCTTGTATTCTAAGGGAGGACTCTGGAGAAGTGGAGCTGGGACCTCTTTCGCAAGCCTGCCCCGGCTGGGGGGAAGGGCCAGCCAGTACCTTCTCACTGCCCTCCCCAGCTGTGTTTGGGGGGCTGGGCAACCACTAGACTCCCAGTCAGGGGGTCCAGGTCCTCTCTGCCTCTAACTGACTCAGATGTGGCTCTGGCTCCTGTGGTGTCATCTGTGAGGGGGGTTTGCAAACCCACAGGTGCTGGCCTGAGATGTGGTTGTCTGCTTTCCTTTCCCACTTAGCTATTACTGAGCACCCATGCGTGCTAGGTGTGCATGGGAGCTGCAGACGAGGAATGAGCTAGGGCCTGTCCTCAAGTGCCCTAATGCTGGTAGTATGGCTGGGGGCCCTGATGTGTTATGAGTAAGAGTTTAGAGCTCAGGCATGTTACTTCCCCTCCTGGGGCCTCAGTTTCCTCATCTGTGAAGTGGTCGTAGTTTAGATGGAGAGAACACAAGAGAGGGTACACGTTTAACACGCTTGGGATGGCCCATGCTGACCGTCAGTGTTGTGGGGCTTGATATGGGGAGTCCTGGCAATCAGGGTCTTGTGCAGCCTATTTGGGCTCTCACCAGACTCTTAGGCCCCATCTCACCTTGGCCACAGGTGGTTTCAACAAGTTCCAGACAGAGTACTCAGAGCACTGCGAGACCAACGTGGACAGCTCGTCCTCACCAAGCAGCTCGCCACCCACCTCAGTGCTGGGCCTGGGGGGCCTCCGCATCAGCTCTGACTGCTCGGATGGCGAGTCAGACCGAGAGCTGCCCAGCAGTGCCACTGAGTCAGACGGCAGCCCTGTGCCATCCAGCCAACCAGCCTTCCCTGTCCAGATCCTGCCCTACCTCTACCTCGGCTGCGCCAAGGACTCCACCAACCTGGATGTGCTCGGCAAGTATGGCATCAAGTATATCCTCAATGTCACACCCAACCTGCCCAACGCCTTCGAGCACGGTGGCGAGTTCACCTACAAGCAGATTCCCATCTCTGACCACTGGAGCCAGAACCTCTCCCAGTTCTTCCCTGAGGCCATCAGCTTCATTGGTAGGTGTTGCCATGTGCTGGGCAGGATGGGTGGGTGGGTGGGTGCGTCAAGGTGTGCACAGGATTCTGGGTGTCGCCCGCGCCTGACTGGGTACCTCTGGGCCTGTTAAGACCTGTGTGTGCCCTGCATGTGCCAGCTTGTGCCTGTGGGTGTACCCATGCCTGCTGTGACTCACCAAGTTCCCCAGGCCCCTCTACCTGTCAGGGCCTGAGCAGTCCCCTGAGTCTTGGGCTCCCCCCAACTGTCAGCCACTCATGGGCTCTCTGCTGTCCAGCTTGTATTTTTCTGGCTTTGCTGTTGTTTTGGGCTTTGAAAACTGAAACATCGCAGCGTACAGACCTCCCACGGGTCTCGCTCACTCTGCATCACGCCTCGGCACGTGTGTCTCTCCAGGATGGAGTTGTCACGGTACCTCTTTGGGCTTTACTGTGTACCTGGGAGGGCTAAACGGTAGCCCTGGAGTCAAAGGCCTACCCAAAACAGGAAACTATTGGAATGTGGGACCCAGACTGCTTGGTTTTGGCCCCAGATGCTCTCGGCAGCCTGTGGGGCTTGCTTGGAGGGTGAGGGGTATACAGTGGAGGTGGGGGGAGTCTGAAGAAGGCCTCCCCCAGAGCAGTGCATCCTGCTGTGTGGCTTAGAGTCCTCTGAGTCCCCTGTGTCCCCAGCCTGAGCTGACTTGGGCTCCCCACCCTGGTTTTCCTACTTAGCCAGCTGGGCTGTCAGACTGCAGGTCATCTCCCCGGGCCCACAGTGTGGGGAAAGGACACAGGCCCAGGATAAATGTAAACCCTGGATTCCTGACCCAGTGTTTCTAACCAGCCTCCTGTGGCAGGGAGGGGGTGGCCCGGGCAGTCTTCTCCTGATGGCGATGGCGGCTGTGTCCAGTGGAGGGCGTTTTGGTGTTGGCTGGGTTGGGCTGGCTTTAATAACAGGAAGTGGGAGGCTTCTCCGCCTCATCCGCTTACTGGGAACCCAAAGTAGGTGCCTGGCTGGGAGGAAGGAAGGAAGCTGAGGCCTGGGGGAGGGGCTGCAACTGGGGCTGCCTGGAGTATCCAGCCCTGCCCCAGGGGGATGTAGCCAAGAGGGCCATGGGTGCTGCCTCAGCATTTGGGCTCCCCCAACAAGGGAGGGGAGCAGAGGGGGAACCTGGATTCCCCAGGCTGAGCCTGGCTTGTGGGTGCCTTTATCCTTCTTGAAGGCTCCTCCACATCGGGGTGAGGGTACAGAACAAGATGCAGGGGTGGGAAGGGGCCTTTTCTCTCATCTGACAAGTGAAGAAACTGAGGCCCAAGCATCCCATGGGGTCAGTGACACAGGATCAAGCACCAGCCACATGCTAGAAGGGCTCAGAATAAAGCCGGTGGAAACAGTTTCATTCAGGATCACGTCGGGGTGGGCTAGGGGCCAGGCATTCCTCACATCCTCGTGTCACCACTGGAGGCTTGTCCCTACCACCCCCTTTTCCTGCCCCAAATCCCGAGGTCAGACCACATGGCTCCGCACGAAGCCACAGCGTCCCCTGTGCCTCCCCTGCTGGTCCTGCCCCAGTGCCTTAGCCATGGGGCCGCCCTGCCCTGTCAGCCCCTGAGTCTGGATTAAGCACTTATGTGCTTACTAAGTCCTGGGTACCCTCGGGTGGGTGGGGCTGGGGAGGGGGAGCTCTGTCGGACCAAAGGCAGTGAAGAGCAATTTGTGGACCCGCGTGTCATCTCGTAGGAAGGCACTGGCTGAGTGCTGACTGTGCCTGGCTCCTTGTGGTTCAGTGGTAGGGAGGTGGGGACCTTGAGGACCCCAAGGCTGCCTCTTGCTTTTGTTTTTATTTTTCTTTCACTTTCAGGAATAGAACCTATGCCTCTTGTTAATCCATGTCCCTGGTCTCCCTCCAGAGAGGAGAGATTTCAGGACTGAGTTGCTCAGTAGCGCAACCACTATTTACTGGGTCCTACTGTGTATCAGGTAGAGGGGTCTGAGGGCGGCACAGGGAGAGCTGTGGGTTGGCCACATCCAGTTGGTGTGGTGGGAGATGTCACTGGTATGCAGGCCTGCTGGGGAAGGTCTAGCAAGTGGGAGGGGTGGGCCCCACTGAGCAAACCCCACTCATGAAACCTCAGGCATGGCGGTCGTCCTAGTCCCTTGGTCTATCAGGAGCTGCAGTTGAGGCTGTGCGCACTGGCCGGGCACAGGGCAGAGCCAGGCGCAGGGCCAGGCCACCCACTTCCTTCTGGGGCGGCTGCCCTCAGGCCTGTTTCCCAGGAGACTCTCAGGAAGTACTCCCAGGAGCTGCACCAAGAGAACAGGCCCAGCCCCCACCCCAGGTCACGGCCTGGCAGCCGTGGGTGCTGAGTTAAGGAGGACCCTCTGTGTGGCCTTGGACTTGTCACTTTGTCTCTGTGTCTGTTTCCCCATTGATAGAATGGGCTTACTGGCCATGGTGCAGATGACCCAAGAGGATGCAGGTGACACCACCCTCAGCACCAGTCATAACACACAGTTGTGGCAGCAGTAGGACTAGCCGTGATCACACTCAGTACCATAGCTCACATTTGTTGAACCCTCACTTGGCTCAGGTCCTTAGGAGAGCACTGTGAATAAATAGGCCCATTTTATAGATGAGGAAACTGAGGCACAGAGGTGTCCAGTGACTGGGAGCTGAAGCATGGCAGAGCCCTCTCCACAGTTATGCTCTTCACCTCTACCCCAGGTTGCTGCCCCACCCACACAGAGCTTGACCAGGTCCCTCAAGAGTTAGGTGATACCAGCCAGTGACTATGCTGCCCTCTGTGCCCCAGCCCCAGCGCCCCATGCTGCGGCCCCTCTGCCCGCCCTGTGGGAAGGCTCCTCAGGAGGAGGCACCTCCCTGACCTGTGCCCCTGTGTTTCAGATGAGGCCCGCTCCAAGAAGTGTGGTGTCCTGGTGCACTGCCTGGCAGGCATCAGCCGCTCAGTGACGGTCACTGTGGCCTACCTGATGCAGAAGATGAACCTGTCACTCAACGATGCCTACGACTTCGTCAAGAGGAAAAAGTCCAACATCTCGCCCAACTTCAACTTCATGGGGCAGCTGCTGGACTTTGAGCGGACGCTGGGGCTAAGCAGCCCATGCGACAACCACGCACCCAGTGAGCAACTCTACTTCTCCACACCCACCAACCACAACCTGTTCCCACTCAACACGCTCGAGTCCACGTGAGGCCTGGTGCACTGGTGGGCATGGCACCGGGCCCCTATCCAGCCCTCCACAGGGCTCTGGCCTGAGGAACCCACAGACGTCGCCTGTGCCCAGAGGCCCAGGCTAACTGGTGGCCGGACGCCCCTTACCATCCTGTGGGAGCAGGGCCCACGGCGAGGCCTCCCTCTGCAGGGCTGCTGGAGAGGCCTCAGCTCGCAGACACATGGCTTTGGGGAGCCGACAGGGCCTCATCCTTTTCTAGGACACTCCTTTCTGCTGATGGCCCGGCCAATTTGGCTATTTTTTAAAGACACATCCATGGACCTGAGTTTACTTTTTACTTTTGGCAGGTAAATCCAAGCTCCCTGGAGCACAGAGAGTGTTCAAGCTCTTCTTGATTTTTCTTTTTTTAACGAAAAGTGTTATTTTCAGGCTACATGCAACAGTGGACTGTATAAACCAGTATTTCATCCCTTTCTTGATCCTGCGAGAGAGAGAAGTGTTCTCAGTTTTGTTTTTTGTTCTACTTCAAAAAGCAACTATTATGTTTGTTTTTGTTTTTGTTTTTAATGGAAAAGACAAACCCCATGTTGATCTTGACCAAATGCGTTTTGCACACGTGTGAAGCCTCCGTTTCTTCGGCGGGCCCTTCTTGAAGGGGTGGCTTGCTGCTCTCCCGGTGTTGGGACCCCTGGTCGTGCCATCTCCCACCCTTGGCCCAGTCCAGCTTGCCACTGCACTTGCCTGCGATGCCTGCTGCAGGTTGTGATTGGTGGGCTGGACAGGTGGTCTTTGCAATCTCTGCCCTCCCATTCTTCCCTCTGGTGGTCCCTGCAGACCTCCCTGAGGCAGAAGGTGAGGGGTATGGGGCCCTGCCATTGTCCTGCCGGAGATGGGCAGCAGGGGACTACCAAGCAGTAGCATTAGCCCTCCGGGCTCAGCCCCTAGGAGGGCCTGGGCCCTGGGCCCTTTTATATATATTTATCCACTACTTCTGTCTCTTTCTCTCTGTCTGTAACTGGGAGTGGAGGCCCAGCAGCTGGGGAGAGCTTAGGTGGTGAGGGTCCAAACCTGCCTCCAGGTTCTTCCCCGACCTTGGCTGTCGCTTTGGTCCAGTGGCCACTCCCAGCCCCCTTGTCCCCCTGGAAGCCTGCCTTTTCTCATCTTGCCCATGCCTTCTACTGCCAGGAGACTTGCACCCATTCCAACCCCAGGGCAGGGGCAGGTGGGGCAAGGATGGACAAGTGGAAGGGGTGCGAGGCTCTGTCCACCCCACTCCCAGTATCCACAGAACAAAGCCACGGATTCCGTTATCCTCCTCCAGTTTTGTTCTTCTCCAACCTCGGTTCTACCAGCTGTCAGGACTGCATGGGGGCCCGGGGAGGGGTGAGCGGTTGGGCCGGGGTCCCTGATGGAGCAGCACTCAGCATGTGAGTGAGGCCACGGAAACTCTGCCCCACTGCATCTTACCTCACAGGGGTGGCTTTCAGGGATTCTTTAGGGCAGCAGGTTAAAATCTTGCCACAGTCGAGAAATTGACAAAAAGTTTCCATGCTGTACATGGTTCTCTTTCTCTCTCTCTTTTTTATTTTTAAAAAGAAAAACCCAGAAAGAAGCATCAGATTTGTGTAAATGAGGGTATGCCAGAGGGTGGCCAGTTTTGCTTTATGATCTTATGAAGGAAAATTTGTGACCCTACCTATATATACACACACATATATATATATATATCCCGAACCAGCAACGGGACTTTGTTTATATTGCAAATAAATATTATTTTTTCTTTAAAATGAGTTGTGATGTCTTGGGTTTGGGATCTGGAAGGTGAGGAAGGGGCACTGTCACCTGGCATCCCAGTGCCTGCTCTGCATGAGGCATTGGCCTGGTCCCACCTAGCCTCTGACAGGCACTTGCTTAGACCAGTCAGAGGTGCCCTGCAGACGGGAGGGAGCAGCCAGGACTTCTGGGTGAAGCTGGCTGGGTGGTGTTTCCCCAGCCCTTGGGCACTAGCAGCAGGCCTGAGCAGCAGGGCTTTCTCTATGGGTTCTGCTGAAGGGGGACGGGGGGTGGGGGGAGCTTGGAGAGGTTACGGGGACAATTTACTCACCTGAGCCCCTACTCAGCCAGAATTCCCTGAGGCTGTCTGCTTGGGCATAGCTAAGATCACCTGAGTCCCGTGCAGCCCCATGGCCCTGACCCTTTCTCTTGCTGCTGTCGGGTGGGAGAGGGGATCTGCATTGAACCCTGCCCCTTCCGATCCTGGGGTGCCAATGGGACAATCCTGGACAGTGAGTGCTCAGCCTGCTCTGCTCTTAAGAGGTTGGTTGGCCTTGGACAGGCCTCTTAGCCCCCCTGAGCCTCAGTATACATGTCTGTAAAATGAGGCCAGTCGCACCCAGTTACTGAGTGCTTTTCACATTTGTGGCACGAGAGTGTATGTTGCGTTCATTTCCTGGCCTGAGTCTGGGCTTATGGGGAAGAATCAGCCATGCTCAGGCTTGCACAGAGCAGGGGAAACATCAGCCTTCCATCCAGGCTCCCTGGCCGGCGGGAGCAGGGAAGGGGCCTGGGGAAGGATGGTGGCCCTGGCTGGGGGAAGTGAAGCCCGCAGTGGGTGGCACAGCCCCATGTTACAGATAGAGAAATGGAGGCTCCAGAGTGCTTATTTCTCCCTCACCTCTGGCTGGATCAGGTGAGCCTCAGTTAGGGACCTAGGGGGCCTGGATGCTGACTCAGTTTCCCCACTTCTGCTGCTCACCTGGCTCTATCTCTTCAGCAGACTGTGTGATCAGCACTGAGCTGGATCCCAGTGGCAGGTGGGTGGGGAGGGCCAGAAGGGTGAGGGCAACTCAGCCTTTTCCCTGGGACTGTCCTTGTTGGGTTGCCCAGGCTCTACCTTCTCTGGCCCTCTTCCATCTCTGCACTTCAGTTACATTAGACCAGAACAGTTACCACCTCTGCTCAGCCTGTGATGAGGGGTAGAGGTAGGTCCCCGTCAACTGTGGCACTGGGGTTCGAATCCCAGCTGTGTGACTGCCAGCGCCACGGCTCTCCCACTCAACACTCCATCTTTAGAATGGAGGAACACTGCTGTTCAGCCAGCAGGCCTGCGTAGGGGTGGGGGGTGGGGCTTCTCGCAGCGTCGGCAAAGGGGTGGGTGCCGCGTTTGCTCTTGGGCTCCCTCAGTGCCCTGGTCCTTCTGTGCCAGGGGCAGGCAAGGGGGTGGAGGCCTGAGCAGGGAGAGACTGGGCCTTTGTTCCTTTTCGCTGCCCTCGCCCAGGGCTGGGGAAGCCCGAGGGTGCTGGGCTGGGGGCTGGGCCCTCAACAGGCCAAGTAAGTGCCTGGCAGTGCCAGCGTGCCCGAGCACAGGACAGGGTGGGGGTGGGAGCAGCAGCCAGCTCCCGAGCCGACTCAGACGAGGACTGGGAAGCGTGGGAGTGCATGAAGAGGGCCAACGCCACCACTCACTCCCATGCGATCTTAGGCCAGGTGGTCTCTCTGACCTTCAGTCTCATCATCTGTGTCTGGCTAAGGTTCTCTGCAACAGGACAGAGAACCAGGTCATGGCTGAATGGCTGGCGCCCTGGGTCCTTGCTCTGTGACCTTAGGCTAGGCCACGCTCACTCTGGACTGCTGCCCCCACCGCCAGGTTTCAGGCTCCTGCCCCATGGCCCCTCACCATGAGCTCCTCGTTTTCTGCCCTGTTTCTGCCATGCCTTCCTCCCTCGGCCGTCCTTGGCTGAGGCCCTTGGCGCCGGCATCCCCGAAGCTCCCAGACACCTGGCTCTCTGGGGCCGCATCTGCTTGGTCTCTGTGGCTTGGATGCTATTGCTCTCCTGGCCCTCTCTTTGCCTCCTGGGTCCCTATTTCTGTCTCCATCTCAGCCCAGGCCCCAGGGACCCCCTCATCGCTTCTTAGCCACTTAGTGTTCTCATGGGAGGTGGATTCAAGACACTTACTCACTCACACATTCATCCAGCAGCCATTTCCCGTGCGGCTGGGCAGCCAGGAGTGGGAACAGCCCGAGGGAAAGCTCAGTGATGTCATGCCAGGATAATGGGGCCCTCCACTTGTCCGCTGATAAATGAATCAGGTGCAACATCAGGATTGACTAAGGCTGGCCACCAGGAAGAACCTGGTAGTGGAGTGGAGTGGTTACCTTGAAGGAGGCCCGATAAGGAGACCAAAAAAGAGACGAACATCTCCCTGGGTGGTTCTGCTCCGAGCCTGGGGAGGGGAGGCAGGCTTCAGGAGAGGGACCTGCTCCCCCTGCCACCCCCGGAGGCCCCTCCCAGAGTGCACTGGTGAATGGGGCAGGGTGGGGGCAGCAGCGAGCCTCCCCTGGAACCTGCCCCTCCTTGCTGTTGCCACTGCATTGCCATTGCGCACTCAGGCCTGTGCCTGACACTGTGTTGCCTTGGGCCGCCCTCTGCATCAGTATGGATGTGTCTGGGACACCAACACCTCCAGCCAAACCCTCAGCAGAAGTCAGAGGGCCTGCTGCGGGTGCCAGGTTTCTCTGGAGGCAGCATAGCAACATGTTAGCCTCTGGGCGCCCCAGTGAGGGCTATCTGGATCCTGATCTTTAATATGTTTTCCCTGCTTGCTCTAGGCCTGCCATGACACAGCGCTGTCACCTCCTCCCAGAGGCCTCCTAGGATTGGTCCCATCTGACTTCTGAGACCCAGCAGAGCTGAGAGCCCCCGGAAGGCTCAGAATCATCCTGTTCCCCAACCCCGTGCAGATGGGGAAAGTGAGGTTTGCACAGGGGTGTCCTGGAGTGAGTGGGGGCAGAGCTGAGGCTCCCACCTGCTGCCCTGAGTCCTTCCACTAGGCCCTGCCTCCACCACCCGGCTGGGACCCCTCTCCCTCTGGTCCTGAGGGACTACACACACACACACACACACACACACACACACACACACACACACACATACACACACATACACGCACACAGAGCTTCCTCACTTCTCAGACTGGACAAGCCCAAGCAGGTCCCTTTGCAACTGAGGAGCCACCTGCCTCTGACTCTGGCCTCCTCTCAACAGGGAGCGTCCTGAGTGAAGTCATCCCTTCCCAGGCAAGGCCATTAAAGACCATCCTTAGCAACTCTTGGAGGCCTCAGCCCCATTGTCTCTGGCTGGGCCCAATGTGCTCCAGCAGGTGATATGGGACTCTAGCCCTAGCTGGAGACCCCATTTGCCCAGGTGGCCAGCCCCTTCCCAAGGCTGCCCTGTGGCACATGCCCAAAAGGCATCATCTACCTGTAGCTTCTGTGCGTGTGTGGGGTCACCATACGCCTTCCATGCCCATGCCTCCTCTCTGGCCTCGGGGCTGCAGGCAAAGGAGAAGCTGCCCTGCCCTTCCATGGGGCTGGGTGGGCTCAGGGGGAGCCTCTTTAGGGGCCACGGGAGTCCCTAAAGGGCTTCAAGCACAGGGCCGACAGGGTCTGATTGTCACTGTGAAGATTCCCTAGTTGCAGAGTAGAAATAGTCGCTTGAAGGGCAAGTGTGCAGGTTAGGGGACAGTGAGGAGGCTGGGGCAGTCATTCAGGGTGGGTCAGGAGGGCTGGGCCCTTGTGGCACGGGAGGAGACAGGGAGGGAAGGACACATCTGCGGGACCAGCAGGACTCCCGTCCCATGGCAGGGAGGCCCCGTGGTGTGAGCAGAGGATCGCAGCTTGTCTGCCTCCATGACCATGGCCTGAATGCCAGCTGCCACGCCACGCAGAAGGATGCTCTTAGCCAGGGCATATGTGGGTCCATGGGGAACCTCTGAGTCCCACTCAGCTCCCCCAAGGGGAACTTGCCCCACCTCACTGTGCAGCCACAAGCTGAGCACCCAGAGAGAGACAGGGGTCACCAAGGCCAATCCCTCCTACTGGGGACTCTTTGCCAAGACAGCACAGCTCTGATGGCCCTTCTCAGCACCTTGGTTTCCTCATCTGCACAGTGGGGGTAAGAATTGTCCATCTAATGGCCGGGCGCAGTGGCTCATGCCTGTAATCCTAGCACTTTGGATGGCCCAGGTGGGAGGATCGCTTGAGGCCAGGAGTTCAAGACCAGCCTGAGCAAGAGCGAGACCACGTCTCTATAAAAAATAGAAAAATTAGCTGGTTGTGGTGGTGAGCACCTGTAGTCCCAGCTACTTGAAAGGCTAAAGCAGGAAGATCATTTGAGCCCAGGAGTTTGAGGTTGCAGTTAGCTATGATGACGCCACTGTACTCTACCTGGGTGACACAGTGAGACCCTGTGAGCCAGGTGATGTTAATTTAAGGTGACCTCCCCGCCTTTGTTGAGGGGCATCTCCCAGGGCCAGCCATTGCCTCCTCCCCCATTTCCATGGGCAGAGAAATAAGAATAATGACCCCGAGGGACCTGCCTTCTAACTCAGCACTGTGCTCCCCCCACCCAGCCTGCCTCTGGCCCCCACGCACATGCCCGAACCCTAGGCTCTGCCTGCAGCTGCTCCTCTCTTCTCCCCACAGAGCCCAGCATGGGGCTCAGGACAGTGCCCCTGGCAGAGGAACTGCAGGAGCAAAGGCCCAGCCCGCACTCCCCACCCCCCCCATCCCTGGAGCCAGCGCAGCCCCTCCCCCTGCCCCTGGGAGAGAGGTTGGCTGGACACTCAGGTGGTCTCTCTTCTTCACTGTGCCATCGGGACCTCTGGCCAGAGAGTCTGGGTGCGGTTTTTCTGCATCCCAGATTCTTCCCCTGGGCCTCGTGCCCAGAAGTGGCATTTCTGGGGCAAACACCTGTGCTCCATTTTTCCAAATGGCTTCCGAAAGGAA